GCTTGAGCCCAGGAGTTTGAGGTTGCTGTGAGCTAGGCTGACGCCACGGCACTCACTCTAGCCAGGGCAACAGAGTGAGACTCTGTCTGAAAAAAAAATAAATAAATAAACAAATGTAGTGTAGCCTAAGTGTACAGTGTTTATAAAGTGTGCAGTGGTGTACAGGAAGGTCCCAGGCCTTCACACTCACTCATCACTGACACCCAGAGCAACTTACAGTCCCGTAAGCTCCATTCGTGGTAAATGCCCTATACAGGCATGCCATTTTTTATCTTTTACAGTGTATTTTTACCATACCTTTTCTATGTTTAGATATGCCTAGACACACAAATACTTAGCATTGTGTTAAAATTGCCTATAACATTCAGTACGTACAGTAACATGCTGTACAGGTTTGTAGCTCAGGAGCAAAAGGCTACCATATAGGCTAGATGTGTAGCAGGTTATACCATCCAGGTTTGTGTAAGTACACTCTGTGATGTTTGCAAGATTATTAATTTCTAAGAACACATCCCTGTCATTAAGTGACATTTGACTGTAGTTGTTTTACTGAATGGTTTTTAAATTTGTAGTATTTTTTGTTGTATTGCTATTTTTATTTTTTTTAATATTTTCAATCTGTGGTGGTTGAATACACAGATGCTGATCCCACAGGCATGGAGGGCCAACTGTATTCAATGTATCAAGAAGCAACTTAGATCCAAGATAAGTAAAAAGAGCAGGAGGCCAGAACCATGTTAAAGTATGCTACCATTTGTATAAAAAGAATCAGGGGGAAAATGTCTGTATTTGCTTGAATACCTACAGAATTTCCCTGGAAAGACATGCAGTTGCCCCCGGGAAGGGGAATGGGTAGCTGGGGGACAAAGGCAGGATGGAGACTTTTCAGTGTATGACAATCTTTGTGCCCTTGGAATTTTGAACCAAGTGAAATGTTACTACCTATTCAAAATAGACTAAAATTGAAAGAAAAGAAGTAAGTGAGTTGAAGAGCACTGGACTTCGATGCCCTTGGTCCCTCCCTGCCCACCCCTAGAGCCCACCTGTGGTCTGTGGCACCGTGGTGAGGGGTGGTGCTCTGGGGTGGGATGCGGCAATTTCGGTCGGTGCAGCCAGGCCTCGTGTCCGCTTCTGGGGAAAGATAAAAATGGGGTCTATAGCCACCTTCTCTAATTGGTTTATAATATCTCTCTCTCTCTCTCTCTCTCTCACACACATGCAAGTGCACACACTCACACATATATACACGCACAGCTCACCTTCGCAGGCTCCAAGGCATCCTCCATCTGGTCAGGTCTCCTTTTGAGTCTGCTTCCTGAGAGAGGAAGCCGGGAAGAAGCCTTAACCAGGGGTCTCTTCAGCTCTACGTTCTGCTTCACTTCTAACATGGGGGACCTCTGTTGGGAAAAGAGACCCTTAAGACAACACCCAGGAGCCCAAATGTTCCAAGACCTTCCCTTCTTGGCCCCCCAGCCTCAATTCTCAACATCACCACCACCAAGCATTAACTGAGTACCACATGTGTCAAAAGGTACAACTCACAGATCGTGTGCCAGCCAAATAGCACAAACAGAAGTGGGACATAACATAAAAGTGGGAACAATCTCTAAAGGGAAAGCTGGGTGGATGTTAGGTCTGAGCTAACTTTAAGGGTAGTACTCAGATAAGCAAACAGAAAGGGACACTCTTGTTAGAAGGCAAAAACTCAAACATGCACATGGTACCACTGGGAAACCAATATAACATTTTAGCTGGAGCTGCGAATCATAAATAAGGGAGAGTGGAAGATAAATAAGGCTGAAGACTGGTTGGGAGAAGCAGGTAACATTTATTGAGCACTTTTAAATGCTTTACCTGTATCAATTTGCTTAATCCTCACAGAAGCCCATTTTGGGAGATGCTGTTATTAATTCCATTTTGCAGATGAGGGAAGGAAGGCACTAAGAGGTAGAATAGCTTGTCTAAGGTCATCAGCAAGTAAAAGGCAGAGCCAGGGCAAAATGTATAAAGTCTGGTTCCAGAGGCCACGTGTTTAACTGGCTAGACCACATTACCTCATAGGACTTTGATGTCAGGCTAAGGAGGCATTCTCCCTGCATACTGTGAAGGGCCAGCTACAGTTTCTTTTCTTTCTTTCTTTCTTTTTTTTTTTTTTGAGACAGAATCTCACTCTTTTTGCCCGAGCTAGAGTGCCGTGGCGTCAGCCTAGCTCACAGCAACCT